CTTCATGAGGGTCTTGCTTGCCCATTTCTCTAGCCTGTCAAGGTCCACATGGTGACACAACCATCTGGGGTATGAACCACTCATCCCAGTTTTCTGTCATCTGCAAACTTGCTGAGGTGGCACTCTGCCCCATCATCCAGGTCATTAAAGAAGATTTTAAACATATCTGGTCCCAGTATCATCCCCCGGGGCACACCACTAGTGACTGGTCTCCAACTGGGCTTTGCGCCACTGATCACAGTACTTTGAGACTGGGAGTTCAGGCAATTTTCAGTCCACCTCATTGTCCATATACCTAGCCCATATTTCATCAGTTTGTCTACAGTGATCTTAGAGATAGTGCCCTCCATTTTCTTCCTAGAGATTGAAGTAAGGTTGACTGGCATGTTCTCTGGATCCTCCTTCTTGCCTGTCCTGAAGATATGCCAAGATAGTTGCTTTCTTCTGGATGTCAGGAATCTTTCCTGATTGCCATGACCTCTCAAATATTATCAAGAATACTCTCACACCGGCTAGCTGCCTTAGCACTTGTGGGTGCATCCTATCAGGTCCCATGGACTTGTATATAACCTGATCCTCCTCCACTGAGGGTAAATGAGTAGATATTTGTTCTATTTCCTGCCCACTAGGGTGGACCATTTTTGAGTTTGGAGAAGGTGATCCTTGCAAATCAGCCAGCTCTCCTGGAGCCCTTCTCATTACAACCTACTCCCCCAGAATTCTGCTGAGGAAATCCCTGAGCAGGCCAAAGTCTGCTCTCCTGAATTCTGGGTCTGTGATCTTGCTATTTGCCTTGTCCCTACTGTCTTGTTTTTAAACAAAAAGACCTTTCTTTTTGAATATGTGAGAGTATTTATTGGCAATATGAAGCCAGAATATTTATTGCCTTCTGGAATTCATTTGGCTTGACATAACCTTGTTCTTTTAAAATATTGAGAGGAGCCGAATGCTTAATATCAAAACATTTAAACTCTCCTTTGGGCCAATGTTAGGAATGAACAATATTAAGAAAACTGCCTTAAGTGACTATACAATGATAGTTAAATCAGCTCCTTAACCTAAATGGCTTCTATTAAAGGGAACTACATTTTCTATCATCAGTAGTGTTTGAAATAATATTAGCAATAAAATCAGATAGATTAAACACTAGACTTGGCAAACAGATATTTTTTATACACTTTTATCGTACTTAATATCTGTGAGATGGCTTTCAGAAAAATATATTTTTTTTATCACACCAATTACTTTCCATTTTCAAACTCAAAGTATTCTTTATCTTTTATTCCACAGCAATAGATATCTTAGGCAAAGCCCTGTCATTTTCTGGAGTTGTGCAAGGATTTGCACTCAGGAATTCAGAACTCCCTTTTCCTGAGAAAGCTGATTTCAACTCTAAGCAACTCATATTAAGGAGGATTCTGAATTGATATATAAAAGTAATCTATAATGAAGAGGACAGAATCTGCTCTGTTACAAAAAGAGTAAACAATAGAACATTGATTCACACAGTTCACTTGCTAAGGTATGGTAAGCAGCATTAACCCTCTTGAAACACCCGACAGAGAGGACACGACATCTATGGAAAAAGAAATTCCTCCTTTCACCTACTTGTGTATGGCTTATTTCATTTTCAGCTTATATCAGCAATAAGAACCTCAGAGAAGAGCATTTCCTGTGGATTAATCTTGCCTGGAGTTAATAGCCTTGGGCTGTGCCCAGAGCTGTCAACCCTCCTCAGCCCATCATTAAGATCCTGAAAATGCTGTACATCTGCATTGCTTTATGAGAATGGAGAATATAGAAGACTACAGAGCACTGGAGAGCATTCTTCCAGCACTCACAGTGGCACAGGTGTTGTGGCAAAGGGCTTTCATGCAGTGACTGTGGTCTGCATTGCTGGATAAAGATTTTTTACTTGTACCTTAAATACAGGCAGCTGTCTGTCCTACAGCCATGCTTACATTTCCTAAGTCATTCTTGAGAAACAGCATTTCTTTACCATGTCATTTTTAAATTGCACATGTTTAAATATTCAGTGTTTACTGAAATCAGCAGGATCTGTGGTTTGCAATTCAAGCTGGGGATGTAGTTATGGCAAAGAGGAGGAGGAATTTGGCCAGTGCCTAATGACCAACAGTAGGGAGTCCAGTCCAAGCTACATTGGTCTTTTGAAGTTCCCACAGTAGTAGAGCAAGCAGAGCCTGCTCTTGCCCACGTCACTGATACAGCTGTTTGCCAGTGTCCTAGCAAGCAGGTAAAACATGGCCATCCCCTCTGTTGCTTGGGTGGTAGATCCCTGGTGGTGTATTTATTAAGGCTCTTTGTATATACACTTGGGTTTCATGAACAGAATTTTGAACTGAAATCTCCGTTTTCTTTAACAGTTGTGAGACACAGAAGCATCTGGAAACAAAAGCAAGTATTTCCAATAAATATTCAATGCAGTATTGCTCTCTAAATACTGTTGAGACAAACTTAGAAATAATGTGGGAAGAGCATAAAACATTTGGAATATTTAGAAGGAGGCTCCAGCAGCATGTTGATGATTTCTAAGGGAAGCCCAAGCAGAGGCCTGAAACCTCACTGAAACAAAGGCATTTTGAGACAGCTTAGTCAAAGTGAAAACTAAACTGCATGGAAAAACTGGTCCAAGTGCAGCTAGTTTGAAGATAAGAGGAATAAAATGTTTTCAGCAGCTGCAAGAAGTGACAGGTTATCTCTCTTTTTTTTGTATGTTTGAGAGTTTAGCTACTGGAAAGACTCTCCAGAATGACTCAATTCCACTGCCTCTATGGAGCACAGTTTAAGTTTTCTGAAAGACTTCTTTTTCTCTTGTTAGCTGTAGCCCAGTGAAGGTATTCTAGCTGAAAGGCAGGTACTTTCTTTGCTATTAAGTTGTGTGCTGCAAGTGAAATTTTCACAGAATCACAGAATGATTAAGGCTGAGAGGGAACTCTGGAGGTCATCTAGGCCAACTCCCTTGTTCAAGCAGCGTCACCTACAGCACGTTGCACAGGATTGTGTCCAGGAAGGTGTTGAAGATCTCCAGAGAAAGCGACTCCACAACCTCTCTGGGTAACCTTCTCCAGGGCTCTGTCACTCTCACAGTCAAAATGTTTTTCCTCAAATTCATGTGGATCATCCTGTGCTTAAGTTTGTGGCTGTTGCCTCTTTTCCTATCACTGGCCACCACTGAACAGAGTCTGGCCCCATCCTCTTGACACCCTCCCTTAAAGTATTTGTACACAAAAAGATCCCCTCAGGCCTTCTCTCCTCCAGGCTACACAGGCCCAGCTCTCTCAGCCTATCATCCCAAGAGAGATGCTGCAGACCCCTGATCATGTTTATAGTCCTGTGCTGGACTCTCTCCAGTAGCTCCATGTCTCTCTTGTACTGGACAGCCCAGAACTGCACACAATACTCCAGATGTGGCCTCAGCAGAGCTGAGTAGAGGGGCAGGATCCCCTCCCTCGACCTGCTGGCAACACTCCTCCTGATGCAGGACAGGATCCCATTGGCTTTCTTGGACACAAGGGCACATTGCTGGGTCATGGTTAACTTGTCCACCAGGACGTGCAGGTCCTTCTGTGTAGAGCTACACTCTAGCAGGTCACCCCCAGCCTGTACTGGTGCCTCGGGTTATTCCTCCCTAGGTGCAGCATCTGCACTTGCCATAGCTGAACCTCATGAGGTTTCTCTCTGCCCAACTCTCCAGCCTGTCCAAATCCCTCTCAATGACAGCGCAGCCTTCTGGTGCTCCAGTCACTCTTCTCAGTTTTGTATCATCAGCAAACTTGCTGAGAGTGCACTCTGTGCCTTCATCCTGGTCACTGATGAATAAATTGAACAGCACTGGACCCAGTACAGACTCCTGGTGCACGCTGCTGGCCACAGGCCTCCAGGTAGACTGCGCCACTGATCACAATCCCCTGAGCTCTGCTATCCAGCCAGTTCTCAATCCGCCTCACTGTCCACTCGTCTAACCCACAGTTTCTGAGCTTGCCTATGAGGATGTTATGGGAGATGGTGTCAAAAGCCTTGCTGGAGTCAAGTCACAGCTCTCCTCTCACCTATCCAGGCAATCATTCCATCATAGAAGGCTGTCAGGGGGGTTAAGCATCATTTCCCCTTAGTGAATCCATGCTGACTAATCCTGATCACCTTCTTGTCCACCACATGCTTAGAGACAACATCCAGGATGAGCTGTTTCATCACCTTTCCAGGGGTGACTCGCCTATAGCTGTGTGGCTCCTTTTCCTTGTCCTTTCTGAAGATTGGTGTGACACTGGCTTTCTTCCAGTTTTTGGACACCGCTCCTGTTATCCATGACCTTTCAAAGGTGATGAAAAGTGGCTTAGCAATAACATCCACCAGCTCCTGCAACACTTTTAGGTGTATCCCTTTAGGGCCCATGGATTTGTGGTTGTCAGCTTTGCCCAAGAGATCTCTAACCCAATCTTGCTCAAGCAGGGACAAGTCTTCTTTTCTCCAGACTTCCTTTCTTGTGTCCAAGGACTGTGATTCTTGACAGCTGAACTTAGTAAAGACTGAAGCAAAGATGTCTTTCAGTAACTCTGTCTTTTCTGTGTCTTTTGTAACCAGGGCATCCACCCCATTCATTGGCAGACTCACATTTTCCCTGGTCTTCCTTTGGCTACTGATGTATTTGAAGAAGCCCTTCTTGTTGTCCTTGACATCCCTTGCCAGATTTAATTCCAAAAGAGTTTTGGTCTTCCTCATTGCAGCCCTGCATACCCTGACAACACTGCTATATTTCTCCCAAGTTACGGGTCTTTTTTTCCATGTTCTGTATATTTCTTTCTGCTGTTGAAGTTTTGCCAGGAGCTCCTTGCTCATCCACTCAGATTTCCTGTCCCCTCTGCCTGACTTCATACTCACAGGGATGCACTGATCTTGATCTTGAGGGAGTGATGCTTGAATAATAGCCAGCTCTCTTGGACCTCCCACCCCTCTCCTTCTAGGGCCCTACCCCATGGGATTCCTCCAAGTAAGTCCCTGAAGAGGCCAAAGTTGACTCTCCTGAAGTCCAGAGCTGCAATCTTAGTCATTCCCCTGCTTCTTCCTTGTCCAGAGCTGCAATCTTAGTCATTCCCCTGCTTCTTCCATGCTGGATTCTGAGCTCCACCAACTCATGATGGGCCTGGGCCTGTGAATGTGAGGCTACTTCCATCTGTCCATAGAAGGCCTCATGGACTTCCTCATCCTGATCAGGTGGCCTATAGTAAACACAACAGTGTCTCCCACGTTAGCCTGCCCTTTAATCCTTTCCAACAACTCTCAACTCGCTCTTATCCACCCCTAGGCAGAGCTCCCATACCTTCTGGTTGCTCTCGCACATAAAAAGCAGCTCCCACACCTTGCCTTTCTGGATCATCTTTGCTAAAAAGCACATAGCCATCCATGACAGCACTTCAGGCATATGAGCTCTCCCCTCATGTCTGTAATTGCAAGGAGATCATGACCCTGTAAGCACACACAAATCTCCAGTTCCTCCTGTTTATTCCCCATGCTAACTGCATTGGTGCACAGGCAGTTCAGGGAGGTAATCCAGCCCCCAGGTTTTCCATAAGGGGTGCGAGAGGCCCGCACAGCACTGATGTCTGTTGCATAGAGAGTTCAGTGCAGTTGCAACAATCCTTTCCCTGCTTGATTAAAACTTATTTTCCTTCATTTCCTTGAAGCCTGGCACACTTTAGAGAGGAGAAGTTGAGCAATATGGTGTTACCTTTTAAGTATGTGCTTTGGGAATCCGTTAGCATGCTTTCTTTGACCCACACCTCTGAAAACCTGAACAACTGCCAACAAATAGAGTAGCTTACATAAACGCAGACAGTAGTGATTCATTCTTATATTAATTTGTTAAAAAACTCATTTTTGATTGTATCCCTGGTTAACCCTGACTTGCGTATCCATCTTCCTGAAAGGGGAGAGCTCCCCACACCACTCTGATGGTTAGTATAGGTCAATTTGTCTGTCTTTCTGAGGTACCTCATCCTCTCTGTATGCTCTAAAATGAGTCTAGGGACTTTAGTTTTGGCATTTGGAATCCAGTGTGGGGATGGGCCTCTAAGATATGAGTGCTGCAGCTCTCATTACCTTTATTATATCAAGTATCTATTGCCGTATTTACACATCTAAGAAGAAAGAGCAACAGTAACTGTGCAGAGGCACTGAAAAGCCAAACACTTGGCAGAGAAGCTAAAATACGGCTTTGTATTCTAAAGCTGCTTGCAAAGTGGCTGCCATGTTTCTGTTACTTTTCAGCTTCCCCGTATTAAAGCTAGATTCTTCTTTTTTCTAGCTATTCAAATTCATGCAGTCATGAATGCAAAATTCATTTATCTGGATCTGCATAAAAGCCAAGGGAGGAACAATAAAATTATATTCAGTGATGCAGGCATAAACTGAAATAAACTGCAAACCTCTGGGGAGCCTCGCACACCCTCCATGGTTTTTCTGCATTTCTGCCTCCCCAGGGGCTCCCGAAGGGAGATGCATTAGTGCTGTGAGGAACATTCAACAAGCTAAAACAGGCTCAAGAATGAGCTGAGTTCCACTTCGCACCATTTTGTAAGTGTCCAAAGAGCTCAGAGCCTGGAAGAACGTCACAAGCCCAACAGATGGTACAAATTCATCATTTGGAAATGCATTTTCAAAACAGATGTTTTACTACTGAGCTCCTTCATCTTCCATTAAAAAGTGTCCATCTAAGTTCAAAGAACACTGGGCAAGATCCCTTGGATCTCCCTCTGGTGACTCAGACATACCATGATTAGACAAATGCAGGCACAAAAAGAAAAAAAAAGAACATAACGTAACATAACCACGTATGCTTGTTTCTTCTCTGTACGAATCAGGTTATCATTTGCTACATCAGCAAGTCTGAATCCAAAAGTCAGCTTTAGTAGAGAGTTCATATTTACAGCCTGGCTTTGAAGTTAATCCAAAAAAGCCTGTGATTCTTCTTGGCCTTTGCACAACGTCTCTGTCTTCACTGGTTGGTTGGAAAATTTGGGCTGCTTTGTTTACTCAAACATGTCTAATCATTGCACATCATATAACTGCTATTCGTAATGGGAGTTGGGATTTCAAGGTGACAGATTACAACTGTCTAGAGGCAAAGGGGTCAGCTGTTGTCAGTTAAACTAAGTGGAGGAGGAAGCAGTCACTCAATACATGACTGACCTTTTGTGGCACTATAACTTATCGGCTGATCCATACAACCTCAATAAGAAACATAGATTATCTTAACCTTAAATACATCATATCAAATTTTTATCAGGTTTGCATTAGCAAATCTATGAGAATAAAATATTGTTCACTGTGACAACTTTTGCTTAGGTGTTAACAAGCCCAAACACTTTCCTCTGCAGATCAGCCTATCTTCAATTAGATTGTAACACATCTGGAGAATGCTGCATGTTACCATTATCCTGCTTTTTTGGCATATACAAATTCTTTTCATTAACTGCATGTACAAAAGATCCTGGGATGTTGTTGAAGGGAGAGCACCATTTCCTCTTAGTTTCCACGCAGAACCACAACTGTGGGGTTCAGTCTGGCCTCTGATGCCTTCCTAGTTCAGAATCACCATAACCCGGTTATTTGAATTGTATTTTAATCCTCAGCTTGAATCTGTAGAGTTCAGCCCAGCTAAAAGCAGTAGTTTTTTGGTTTGCATTTTGCTTTATTCCTGGAATAATCTTGGGAACTAGAAGTTTACAGGCTTACTAAGAGCAGATGATGCCCTTTTTAGGAAATTAATTATGTTCTGCAGTCTTTTATGGCAATGGCTACATAACTGTTAATTTGAAAAGGGGCTCTGAAAAGGGAACTGTTTTGAGGTGAGTGGGAGGAAGGCAACCAGATCCTCTATCACACTGTTCCTTCTATCTCTCTTCCCATTAGATAAGTTTGCATGTGAAACAGGGTTTACTTCTTCCAGAAGCTTTTTAGACATAATAGAGAGGATGCCAAAGTTTTCTGAGCATTACTTTTTCTTTTTTTCTTTTTAATTGGAAAAACATCCTATTGCTTTAAGCAGAGCTTTCTGAGCTTGCAGTTGACTTTGTGGATATCTGAAGGGAGCAGAAATACTTAAATAGATAAAATTATCACAGTCAAACTGCTGAAACAGATAAAATTATCTAGTTTGATAGTCTGAGTATGTACGGACAGTGAAGTAAGAAAAAAGATGTGTTTGTGGGAGCATTTGCCATGGAGTCTCTGGCACAGGGAGCCATCCCATCCCTGCCCTCAAGCTGGTGCAAGGTCCCACCTCTGCCTTGAACTCCGTAAGAGAAGCAAGGCACAAGTACAGAAAACAGGGCTTACTAAGGGGAATGAGGTGCCAAAGGGACTGCAGATCCTGGTGTGGTTGCACACCTGCACTCACTGTGTTGTGACATGCATCTGTGATCCTATGCCACCATCTTTGTCAGGAGGAGAGCAGAGAAGGGTGCTTCAAACCAGATAGATCCTCTTGAGCTGCTGCTCTGTCTTGCCACTGGCGGCAGAGTGGTGGACAACTAGCTCTGGTATCTAACTTTAAATGACTAAAATTAAGTAAGATGAAACCCATTTCTCCTGCATTAAACATGTCATAGAATTTCATACTCTGAATCTAATTAGCGAGGCTGACTAACACTCATACTCTAGAAAAAGATTCTATCTTGATTATGAGACACTAAGCAAAGGAGACAATTTCTTCTGTAACTAGTTTTGTGAAATGGCTACACTTCCTCAGTCACAATCAGAAAACTCAGAGAACCACTTTCTATTTCTCGTTTAACATGTTTAACTTTAATCTCTAATTGATAGTTTTGTTACATTTTAAATTGGACTTACAAAAAATCCCAGTCTAACTGAGACTAATTCCCAGACTAATGAGACCAACTGCCAATGAAATAGCTGTAAACAGCTTAAAAACTTGATGTCTAGGATCTATGCAAAGGATTTTATGTGTTTGTTTGCTTGCTTTTTTTTTTCCCCCAAGACAAAGCTTTAGCCCTTTACAAAAATAACTGTATCACCAACAGTATGATGAACAGAAAAATGTGGTTGGATCCTGAATGTCACAGGTCTAGTTTTCAATAAGGTAGCTAGCTGTGTTTTATCTTTGGCTTGGTGAAGAAGATGGGGAAAGTTGAGCTGTGACACTGCTTGGACACTGCAGTGGTCACAGTTATGGCTAACGGCGCCAGCCAAGGCTAAGGGCTCTCTGGCTCTCTGGCTGTCTCTGTGGGTTAGAAACAGGGAACTGATTGACTTCTGTTCTGAACTGACTTGGGCTAGCCAGAGTCCAGAGGTCAAAGGTCAAACATCCTTTTACTGGAATTTGATAAAATTGTAATTAGATTTCCCTTTGCATTTTTTAAAGGCATGTATCTACAGTGAATACAGAGATCCTCATATACTGTATTTTCTGTACAAACTTCTGCAAGACCTCTGCATAAGCTTACCCTAAAAGATCTCCTACCCAGAATTACAAGGATAGAAATACATCCAAGCTGCCAAGCTTTGGTACTTAAATTTGAAAAAAAGGCGCTTTTTTTTCCCTCTGTATATGACACACTGAACAAGCCCAAATGCAGCACACCCAGCCTTGCCTCTGAAAAATATCTGTGGTAGCTGCTAAATATGACTCCTCCTAAAAGCATCATATTTTTATTAAGGCAAGTGAAGGGTACATATGAAAACTGACTGTGATCTTGATGGTTCATAGAAAAAAAAGCATATGGACAAATCAAAATTAATTCATTTGATATCTCTAAGTAAGTCCTTTGTCACTGCGCTTGGAAGGAATCATGGCAATCTCTCAAGCATGTACACTCTCTTGTAGGTTTTGGTGGTGCTATTAGCTGTTGCAGAAGAAACACAGAATATGATCTTATTTTTGACAGATAGAAAGGACTATTCAAATAATCGTTTCAGTACCCGCTTGCCCAGTTAAGTACACTAGAAGGGACCCAGGCATCCAAATTCAGACTCATTACTTAGCTATTCACCTGGCTTCCAACATAGGCAAAATACACTTCCAACTACTTCCTCATCTCTCCAGGAAAGCAAGGTAAGAGAAGCAGAATTTATTTTAGCTACATTTACATTTGAAGACAGGGAGAGATTAATTCAAAAGGTGTGAGGAGCTAAATTTAAAACGCCTGTAGTAAGCTGAGCATTCTCCATTCTTCTCTTGCAAGGGTCAGAGGCACTATGGGAATAAATCATCTTTCTCCCACAACTACTGAGAACTCAGGAAGGCTCTTGCATTCCAGGCAAAAAGATTGAGCGATTCTGAGTTACTTGAATAAGGAAGGAGACAATCAATCAGTTTGATCAAGAAAGACTCTGCAATTATTTCCTTGGAACAGCAAACTGAATTGTAAATTTATCAATGTACTGCAAAGTGTTAAAGATATTTATCCAAGCCCAGAGTGCTGATACTCTGTCATCCATCTCTCATGCACAGTACTTTAAAATAGTCTAAGAAAAAAGATACCTTTCAGAGAAGTGCTATGTGAAGCAATGTATGT